TTATAATTGCAATGAGAGCATACAACACGTGTGATGCACGGGAGATCGAGAGACGAACTGCAAGACGACGCTAAGCTCAGAAAGAGACAATCGCATTTCGCCGGTAAACCAGAATGCCGCAATCATACATCAATCGATACTAACGCTTTCCAACAATATCCCTCGAACTGTGCCCACACAATATATTTTTGTTAATTTAGTGAATTTAAAAAAATAATACGAATAAAACTTGTCGGATTTAAAGAATTATATACCGTTTAAGATGTTTTGTTAGTCACAATTACCTAAAGATTAGTATGATGTTATTTCGGAGTTTGATTAAATTTTGTATAATACATTCTATTAATTATTTCATCAGTAATAAGAAAGAGATTTCAGCTAAATTATATGTTATGTACTAATTATCATTACACAAATCCATCGATATAAATATTTAATACTACTTACATGTAAAGTAATTAAAGCGATTAAAATATGCAAATAAGTAGATTATTAACCCTTTTCACTCGGATATCGTTGATACGGCGACACATTCTTGTCAAAGTGACAATTAATTTTATGTTTTGTTTCAGACTATGAAAATTATGTAAAATACATAAATTAAATCACAAAATCTTTTATTCGTTAATTCTTTTAGAATTTCACAGCAGTATAATAATTTTTATTTCAATTCGACTTTGTATAACAAAATCACAAGTTTTGCGAATTTTGGTCCCAGTTGAATGTAGATACATCGGAAAAATCTTCCGAGTGCGAGATGTGTTTTCTCATAACCGTGCTACACGATACTACATAGGATGACAGAAAAACTTGTTATCGCGTGAAAAAGGATGCCAGAATGGACATGAACGTATACTGTTGTTCAATATCATTGAGTATGATCCCTGTAATGTATCTGATAAACTGTGTCAAAATTGTGTCGTATCGCGACAATAATTTAATATGACGTTCGGACCATTTACCAGACGGAAGGAAAACTTTCAGAAGTACTATGTGACAGATTGTTTACGTGTGCGTTGCATTTTGTCGGATGACTACATGAGGTGTCATGTTGTGTGTTGGCTTAAATGCTAATAAAGGTTGAAAATGTAGGCAAATCGGTTTATCATTTAGGCTGAGCACAGTCCAATTTGAAATGACGGTTGCCGCAAACTATGGCGCGATGGGGGTGTCTTTGGTCGCCATAAATCCTATCATGGAAACTCTCGGTTGCAAAAGGTTGGAAAGCGATGAGGAGCTATTGTACGCGGAAATTTGCGCATTTGAAGTGCACGTGTATGGGGACTTCGCAAATCGTCATAGTTTTAGAGTCAGCCCGATTTAGAGTCTTTCGGTGCAACTGCTACGGAAAATATTGATAAGGCATAACGGTATCCACTACGCATTGATTTACCGACGAAAATATTCCAAATTAAATACATTCGTAACCCCAGAAAAAGAATTTTGAAAATCGATTCTCGTAAAAACTATTCTGTTCGAAACGTTTTAGAAAAGGTATGAAATTGTTAAAATCAAATATAGTCTTGAAGTGATTTGATACTCCTAAAACCAAATGTGAAATTTTCAGGTCTCGACGTTAAGAGTTGTAGAAATCTCACTGGAAAATTTACTTCAGACGTTATCGTTCACCTTTCCCATGCTGTTGTTCTTTTTACGATACGTTGGATTCATCATCACTTTTCCAGTAGTAAGTTGAATAAAATAAGTTGAAAATTAAGTTGAAAATCATTTAGGTAATTATTATATTCCTTAACTGGCTTTTTTCATGTGGTTTCAGATAAGATCCTTATTTGAAAATATTGAACGTGACTTCGTTGCGACGAAAGATCCTATGGAAATGGATATATTCGCGAAACAAATAATAGAAGCAAGACGCGTAGTCATGGTATTATTAGGTAAAGATGTTTAATCGTGTGATCCCTAATTGCACTAAATGTGAGTATTAGAAAAATGAATCCTTCTACAGGGGAGACTGTGGTAGCCCGATGCATAGGCAGGTTTGATACATTTTCATATTTCCTACCTAATAAACAAAAGAGATCAGTATATCAGTATAGAATACAAATGAGTTTGAACCTAATTTGATCAATGCCAACATATCGTTACTATTACGAAAATGGAAGCAATAGATACATTGAATTAAATTCGCAGTCAAAGGAATTTTATAAACGTAAGCAGTAATTTCAATTATATATAGCATAATCCAGATACAATTCCTAGGTTGCATTTATTTTCCATTTTCTTTTTTAGCAAAATCAGTTTCGAATAATCGCATCTCCTCGTCGAAATGGTCCATTTTTGTTTTGAAGCCGAAGGACAATTGGGGAGAAATTATTATTAGTGTGTTCTTATTCTTAATTTATACAGGGTGTTAAAAAAACATTCAACATTTACATGGTATATAGAACACATTATTGAAATGTAAAACATTTCTGTTTGCTAGCATCGTGATTGATTTACTGTTCGATGCTCAGAAGTCAACTGAGTAAAGTGTAGGACCGATTCCATGTTAACGTCCTCGTAGAAGTTATTTCGTCTAGAATGTAGACTTCTACGTGATCCGTGTTCTCCAAAATGTATCCTCTCTGCCCACAGTCTTCCTTAATTCATTACCCTAATACGAGCATCTTGTCAGTTAAGATATTAGAATTATAGAAAACTACACAATTGACCACATTTTTTACTTTATGAACCTTGTTGCAATATTCTGTTCATCGTTGTCTTACTACAGAAATAAGTGCTTCGGCACTACAATAGTTTTAAATAGCCCTTTTACATGGGAACGCATATATCAAATACATGCATCTTATTTGTTTGTACACAAGATGTTCCAGCTAAAGCACAAATTCAATAGTTCCAAAATAAGAAAATTTGGAGCGGCTTATTGCATACCCGTATTCCTGCGTGGAAGGGCTCTAAATAAATTATTCTACATATGTTGGAACTATCCTAGAGTAACATTATTCTTATTTGTAGTCGTATCATCTGGAGGAGCGTTGCTCATATCTCTCATATTATTCATTCCTACTATATTGCAATCACAACTTCAGGTTCGTTATTTAAAGATAATTGGATTTTTTTATTCTGAGCTTAATCGGAATTCTACGCTGGTTGTTTATCAACTTATAATTGTACTCTGGATGGGAGTATTGTCGCTAAGCTGTACGGAATCATCGCTTGCTGTCATTGCCTCTTACTTGTGTGGATGTTTAGAGATTACAAGGTATGTTTCAATTCAGTTGTTTCGTACGATCATATCGATTCCAATCGATTTGATCATACAAAATTCTGATACTCCGTAGCCTGCTTCTAACAGCTGTTTGCGTCAAATTATTTTTATATACCATTGTCGGCAAGGTACTCTTGGATGGCTAGTTTGTTGTTGCCATATTAATACATATATTTTAGTTGAATCTTCATCTGCTTTTGTAGCCTTAGTAATACGCTCATGAATAAATTGATTCTCCTTCTTCAGGGCGAATGGTGACTCATGTAATTTCATTAATTACGAGAGCATTAAACTGTGACGCGATACTAAACTCCTTTTAGAGAATACTGTAAGTGTCAATATTAAGAGAACCTCTTTATTATTGGAAAATGTTCTGCGTGTCAACGGTAATACAGTAATGTCTCCCTATCTGTCGCCGGGACCGAATTCTAAAGTGTCGCGAGTAATACGCAGGAAATGATTTCCTCGGGTCTCGCGGCTCGCCTTTATTGTTGCCGACACCTCGTGAGAGGGAGAGAGATAGAGCGAAACTCGAGTCGAGCGAAACTACGTTGTATACTATGTATGCAAGGCAGCGGTCAGGATCGGAGACAGCCGGTGTACAACATTGTAATGATAGAATAAAAACGATGACTTAACTTTTTAATTTCTAATTTTTTATACATGAAAATTTTTTTAATATATTGGTTACATTTTTCCAATTAAAATGATACCAAGCACGACATGCTTTAGACCATTCTTATTCATTATACGTAATAAGTAACTTATTTTATTTGCGAAAAAAACATTACAAAAACTGATTTTTAACATATGAAATATAAAAGGCAAAGTCAAAGAAGGTATGTACATATGTTTTTCGAAAGAAAATATCACCAAAGCTACGCTATTCGAGCCTACGTTAGACACCGGGAGTAGGAAGCTTTACACGGATGGGAGACAGAAGGAAACGGAGACGGCCGAAAATGAAGTGTTCCAGGTTTGACATTTGCTGGGACGGGAGAAGCGACATCATTTTGAGGACGAGCCTGCACATTTTCCATCAACTCTGGAATTTTAAGATGTCGAACATCGAGAAAGAACACGACATTTAGCCAATTTGAATATGAATTATTTACAAATTAATTTTTTTACATTATTTGTTACAGCATCAGTAAAGCAACAACTTTGCCTAAACTCTTTTCCACCGCACACCACGTGTATCTTGGCAGTAAATTACGTGCAACATCTATCGTCTTTGATTTTGTCAACAGAAATATCTGTCCAAACTATATATCGTGTTTCGTCTCATTTTAATCAGGAAACTATCGGCAATATGTTAAAAAAAGATCAGTGTTAAAATGTTAAAATTAAAAAAAGTTATGTCATTGCATTATGAGTTGTATTCCGGGAATTCGAGTCAAAGGAGCCGCGACGCATGCCGCAACACACCTGTTCACCAACACCATCGAACTTTAGCATAGCGAGAAAATCGATAAATTAAAGGGCCGCAAGAAAATCAATAAATTACAGGAACGTAGCAATATCTCAGCGGCGGGATTGACACACTCAAGTTACGCCGAGAAGAGAGACATTACTGTACTGTTACACAGAATTTTACTGAAAAGAATTATTTTTGTAGGAAACAATTGATGTGCTATGTATTCATACGGTCGTCAAATATCATTCATTTAGTAATAATTGACTTGGAACATTCCTACTATCGACAAACCATAGAATTAATTTTCTGTGCAAGTTATTTAGGGGCATAGAGAATCGTGACAATGAACCCATATACTTCTTGGAAATGTTAATTATACTATTCATAAGTGACAGAAAATAGCAAGATTATAGAACATTTTAATGTTTCGCAGAGAAAAACGTACTTATAAATAGTAGTTAAATAATTAGATATATATTATTGAAAACGTCCATATTAACAGTACACATATATTTTCATTGCTCTAGTTACCGAATACGAACTGCTGTCGACCAGCTGGCGAATTCAACGACAGCTACATCGCATATAATAGACATACGATCAGCTATGGATTTGCACCAGCGTGCTACTGAGTTGGTACCTTCATTCAGATATTAGAGCAACATAATTGCTATATATTTTACTATACATTTAATCTATCTTCTCGTACGTCTTCTCTGTCCATCATGAATATACTGAAACAATATGAATTTGCGAAGGAAGACTCTCAGCAAATGTTACGAAGTCTTTGGCGATACCTTATTTAGTGGCTGTCTTAACAGTTGTCATCTCATTTGCTGTAAATATATATCGCGTAAGCATTGTTAAAAGTGTGTAAGAAGAAATAGGTTGAAGATAATTGTTCCGATATTTGTATATTTCCATCGATGGAAACATAATGCCACTGCTTCTGATACTAATAGCTATTCCTGGCGCTTGGAGATTTGAGTGACAAGGAAAACATATTGTTTTGTGTACAAATTACTTTGGTACATTTGTTCATTATATATTTAAACAATTATAACGGACAAAAACTGATTACTTCTAGTATTGGATTATTCAATGATATGTAAGTTCACTCTCTTGAATAAATGTAATTTCTATCAACGATAATTCTGAAAATAAAATCGATCTAATAATAATGGTAAAGTTACCCACATTTTCGAATAAGTTGTGTAGAAATTACGTTAAAAGGTTACATAACTACAAGTTGAAATACACGTGTTGTGTATCACATAATAATGACATGACGCTATTCAATACAATAGATACGATTCATTGTGGTACTGTATACCACCGAAGTCGCAGAAAGTATTACTATTCGTATTGATGAGAAGTAGTTACCAAATGGAATTTAGTTGTGCTGGTTTATTCATTCCGTCTAACGAAGGCTTTGCCAAGGTAATCAACTGTTTTACATTCTATCAAATGTGATGTCTTAATTCTCAGATTCCATGAACATTTGTTTCAGATGATGAGCACATCATTTTCGTATTTTACTGCAATCACCTCGGTTCAGTAGGAAACCTAGAAATATTGGACGACAATGCTGATCACTGTTTAGGAGAAAAAATATGTATCATGCGTGTACAAAATTAATTGTTATAGTATATTTTCACATTCTTTTTCTGCATTGTATGTAAATATGTGTACACACTGTACCGTTAAATCTGGAATAAAGAAAGTGATAAAACTACACAAGTGGTATCTACTGATAATTTCATATGGAGTTCGTCGATGTAGCAACTATTTAGTTTACCATACATAACACAGAGTATCGTCTTCTAAAGTTTGTCGACACCTTGAATCTTGTGTTTTCTAGCAACAGGCATCACTCAAGAATTCTAATTTCAGGCGATTGTTTCATGCAATGTTGGTGAGACAAAATATCGCAAATGGCGATCTTATGGGACGTTTCTCTACTGATCACGTCGTCTATACTCATAGACGAGTATAAAATTTATGTTACTGCCAACCTGTGATCATGTCTTAAGATGCTCACGTCCGCATGTTTCGATTCTGACTAAAAGTATCTATGGGAAAAATTACTGTATTGACTAGGGCTGTGAACAACGTCGAACGCGCGCGCGTATCGATCCACGCTTTTCTTATAATTACTAGAACTATTGAACGTTCATTCGGCGTTAAAAGTAAACATCGTGTTGGAGGCGGAATGCGCGTTACGCGATGAAGTTTCGGTGAAAAGTTTTATTACGCGAAGCGTTACACTCTTCCGATCGTCCAATTTACGACAGTGGTACGTGAAAGATGTCATGCCAGCGCTTCTGGCGTCGATCCTGCATCCATTAGAGAATTCCATCAAGTATCAGCCGTTATAAGCAGGTTGTGCTGTCCATGTCTCGTACAATGCAGCTGAAGAGAGCAACTGTCAGCGTTAACAGTCACGACGCGTGTTTCTTTTGGACCGCCGTGGCGGGCCTCTATCCAGCTGAACAAAATTCGGAGCGAGTATTCTCCAACTTACACTACAAAGATCTGCTTCGAACTGAGGGTTTCTAATTGTTGAAGGTTGTCCATGCGAGGGACATAATATTTTAAATTTTGGTATTACATTGTTGTATGATGGGCTGCGTCGCATCTGGCGAGAAAGTGCGACGACTGTCTACCTGGACAAGATGTCCTTAAACGGTAGACAAGCGTAGATCCGCATTTCTCTGCGCATATGGTCTATTCGCACTGCGTTGCCATTTTTGAGGCTCCTACGACCAAAAATTTTGTTCTTTTGTTAGTTGCCTGCGGACGAGCGAGGCATGTGGTTGTGCCTACCGTTGCTTCCGAACCATCACCCTTTTTTTCAATAAATAGCTTTCTCATTAAAATTAATTCTGTTACAATTATTTACGTTGCCTGTAAATATTCAACACTAATTTTAAATGTCGTTCAAGGATACACCAAAGTTTGAAGAAGCGAATTATGTTTCTGTGAACATGCTCGAATGGAAGGGGAAACGAAAAAGCTATCAAACGCTTCATTTGACAACAAGGACACGGAAGATGCACTAAAATTGCTGCTTATACAGAACGTAGCAAATATGCACAATTATTTTTTCTGTATATGGAATTTATCCCGTTTGGTTTCATCCCCCAACTCAGGGAACATAATCAACAGAAGTATATTTCTGATCGGTAAGTTCTATACTTGAATATTTATCTTGAAGGAAAAATAGACAAAAAATTGTGATATGAATTTTTTTCAGGTGTTTGAAATATTTCGGATTTTTGGAAAAATTGGACACTCATAGCGTCGACTGTAGCCAATGAATGAATGCGATTTGCTACTTTCAACGGAAGATGATAAGTGGCTGCGTTTCAAGGCGCGTACAAGAAGGAGGCGAACGGAGATGCTTTTGTTCGTGGAGCAAGGAATACGAGGCGAGTTGGGTCAATATTCGAATCCTTAAGCGCGCACGAGTAACAAGTATCTGCCGATGTACAATTGTCCAAACCACCCACGTATCTAATGTATTTCGACGTTAATAATTTGTATGGTTGGACCATGTCGCAACCTTTGCCGCACAGAGTTTTCTGATGCAAGTAATCTTAACATCGATTCTGCATCGATCGACAGGCCCATCGGGTACATTTTAAAGGTCGGCTTGGGGAGTATCCGCGCGAAATTCAAGATTCTTATGCGGATCTCCTGTTTTATCCGAATCATGCTGGTCGAGGACGTCTAAAAAAAAGTTGATATTTTCAGCGATGTCTGAAGAATAATTTAAAATTGAAGAAAATCTACCATATTCTAGAATTTGAGCAATCGTATTGGCTATGGGATTACAACGATTTAAACACGAGATGGCGCGCCAATACGATGGAGAACGTACGAAACCCCGCGAACATAAAATTGTTTTCGCGATGTGACTCGCATTAATATTCGGACACCATATTGTTAGAAGAATTATTGCTCCTTTTTATTGTTTGTGATAGTATTAGTGAATCAATTGTTTTCTCATATAATAAAGCACTTCCTAAAATAAGTAGAAACATAAATTTTGTTTATTTATTGCACATGTACTTTTGTATAATAAGCGATAAACAAGATTTAACGTCGCAAAGATATTCGGACACATCTTAGATGCTAGAGTAAAATACTGTACTACATTGACGACGACGCTAACACACATTGTTTATAAACAAATTTTATAAACAAATAAAAATTCGTTGTGAGAACTTTGTACCACAGAAATTATTGGTGATATCAGACGCTTTCGTACTTGCGAAAATGGGACGAAAAGGAAGAAATACGTCTTTTGAAATCCGATAATTGGTTATTTATCACAAGGAAAATGGAAAATCATACAGAGATATAGCCAAATTATTAAATATAAGCGAGAGTAGTGTTGCAAATATTACACGTCGGTACATTCGTGAGGATTGAATCGATTTAATCCCTCAGAAAGGTCGTCTAAAATTATTAGATTCTCGCGACTAACGCAAGATAATAAGAAAAATAAAGAAAAATTCTGAACATAGTGCTACAAAATTAACAAAGGAGTTATTTGTAGAATTTGGGAAGAAAATACATCCGGACATTGCGACGGGTATTAAAAACTTATGATTACAACAAAAGAGTTCCTCGTAGAAAGCAATACGTAAATGAAGCAAATCGCAAGAAAAGATTGAGTTTTGCAAAAGAATATTTTTGCAAAGACAACTGATTGTGGAATGATGTAACATTTTCGGATAAAAGCAAATTTTATCTTTACGCGGATCCGACAGTCAAAAAATTATGTGGTGTGAAGTAAATACAGAATTAAACATTTCAAATTTAAGACCGACAGTGAAACACGGTGGTAGGAGTGTAATAGTGTGGGGTTCTATCTCGTCTGTAGGTGTAGGTGAACTAGTTTTTGTCGATGGTATTATGGACAAAATGAAGTATTTGGACATTTTTAAAAAAAATTTAATTACAACTACTATAAATATGAGTATACGTACAACTTTAAGTTTTATCAAGACAATGATCCTAAACACGAGGCCAGAGTTGTACAGGAATATTTACAATTGTCCAAAAGTATTGCATCCCCCTTAATCGTCTGATTTAAAAATCCGATTGAAAATTTATGGGATCAATTGGACCGCAAAATTCGTACAACACCTACAAAGACAATAACAGAGATAAAACAACGTTTGCTACGTGAATGGAAACGGATTTGGCCGGATTATTTAAATAAAATCATCTGTAATATGCCCAAGCGATTACATGAAGTAATAAAACAAAAGGGTCAACCGACAAAATATTAATATTATGATAACATGATTAAAAAAAGTTTTTCATTTTATATAAAATTAATATAATTCATTCACTGTCCGAATATTTTTGTGACATTAAATTTTGTTACAATCTTGTTTATCGCTTATTATACAAAAGAACATGCGCAATAAATGAACAAAATTTATGTTTCTACTTACTATAAGAAGTGCTTTATTATATGAGAAAACGATTGATTCAATAATACTATAATAAACAGTAAAAGGGAGCAATCATTTTTCTAATAATATCGTGTCCGAATATTTATAACGTACCGAGAATCTTCCCACGAATTTTTTATATTCCTTTCTGAAGACATACGCCAGGCTGGCGCCAGCCAGTCGGGGGTTCATTTGTATATCGCGAGTCGAGTACTGTCTCTTATACACATCTAGGCTGGCGCCAGCCAGTCGGGGGTTCATTTGTATATCGCGAGTCGAGTACTTCCAAGGGGTACGACGACGAACGTTTCTGGAATCGGGCCACATAGAAACACCCCCACTACCATTTTTCCAGAGAAAATCAGGCTTTATAAAGGGCCCAAACGCAACTAGAAATCGGGCTAGTTTCGAGTCATTCGTCGACGCGAAAACGCTAGAGAGATCGAGTCTTAATTCTCCTTCGAACAATCTAATAGGTAATTAGATATCAAATCAGAAGCCCCCGCCGTCTCAGTGCGAAAAGCTGAGAGCGCAATAGAGTCCGCGAACACTTAGATACATTTGTAAAAAACCAAAACGTGTAATAAATTAGCTATTACCAGTTTCTTTGGTTACAAGTTCAATTATTTCCATTTCCTATTTCGCAGCAGTAGTTGGTATAAGCCACAAAGATATATCTTTACCGCTCGAGATATATTTTTATTTCTTTTTTCTTACAAAGTTACGAGGCAGCCTAATATCAATTTCCCCCAAATACTATCCTTACCTTAAAGGTAGCCACCCGTGCCGAAATAAGCATTGGCTGGTCTACGCACCCTATCCTTACTTCCTTGAATGTAGTCACCCGTGCCGAAATAAGCATCGGCTGGTCTACGCACTCTAATCCTTACTTCCTTGAAGGTAGCCACCCGTGCCGAAATAAGCATCGGCTGGTCTACCCACCCCTATCAAAATTCCCAATTGCATGCAACCTCCAGCCACCCACCTGCCTAGTCCTCGGCTCGTAACATATTAGTGCGAGTCACTGTATGTACGCGCGATGGTTTTACGAGCGAACAACAACATTATGAAAAGCGAAGTTATAGGCACGTATAAAATAAACTTTACAATAGCTGACAACGTGGGCTCCATCCTAGGATTTTCTGCGGATCGCTTTTGATCATCGAACACGTGGCACACATCGGATAAGTTTGTGAACATCATTAATGCGAACATTATTCGAATAGAATGTAACGTAACCACAGGTCCGCCCAAGGTGCCGCCAGGATAAAAAATATCGAAAATACTGACACGAGTAATTTACCTTCCGATTGTTACACAGCCGATTGAAGATTCAACGATTTTTATCGTAGATCAATCTGGACGTATAATTGATTTTCGAGATGAAGAAATTATGGTACGGCTACACATACGACAAATCGTCTCATAAGCTGACAACGTTATGATAATTCATAATAATAATACGACGCTGAAGACGTCGAGCACCATAAACGATACATCACTTCGAAGTAGGAAGAAGAAGACAACGCTGACTGTGAAAAACGTGAAATACCTGCAATCTTTGGGATATATCGTTAAGAAGTAAAAATCTTCCCATCATGTT